CACACACACACACACACACACACACACACACACACACACACACGAGTGTTTTGTTTGCGTGTATATATGTGTACCACATGCGTACCTGATGGTCCTGGATTCCCTAGAACTGGAGTTATGGATGTGAGCTGCCATGTGGGTGCTGGGTGCAGAACTTGGGTCTTCTGCAAGAGCAGCCAGTGCCCTTAATTGCTGAGCCATCTGTCCAGCATGGCATGTGCAGCTTTAATCAGTTGTAAGAAAAACCAGTGCCACTCCAAGGAGCCTCTGTGGGACACCCCAGCAGGTCCCTGTGCTCCTGACTCTGTGTTGTCTGATGCTGACACTCTTGACAGTGGTGTCAGGGGCCGGACACCAGCAGCTGTCCCAGGCTGCACCCGTTCCTCCTCTCCAGGGTCACTAGTTTGCCTGTAAATGCACCTCAGCTAGGCCAGTCATTTACAAGGATACAAAGGAGCAAATCCATATAGAAAAGGACACCGCTTAGCCATGGGGAAATGGGGGCCCCAAGGGGTGTGATTATAGAAAGGAGGGAAAGAGGGTCTCCCTTTCAGAAAGGAGGGAAAGAGGGTCTCCCTTTCTTCCTTGAACACATTCTAGTTTTCTCAGCGTTGTGCACGTCATACGGGAGTACTGCTTTCACTAACCCCACGTTTTGAGACAAGGGCAGAAAGGGGACGCTCGTCAAGTGGAGGAGGTATTAGGGTGAATGCAGGCGTGACAGCTGTGACCTCACTGCTTACTCTCTCGTAGGAAGGAACTTGTGGATCCATCTGGACTGTCGGAAGAGCAGCTGAAAGAGATCCCGTACACTAAAGTAGAGTGAGTGTGCCCCTCGGGAAGTCTTTGCAGTTGTATTAGTGTGACAGTTTTATTTGCTGTGACAATACACCTCGACCAAGGAAAGTTATATAAGAAAGTGCTTAATTTGGCCGACGGTTCAGAGGGTTAGGATCCTGCTTAGAGTCCGGGACGGCAGGGCAGAGGTGGCAGGAACAGCCGACAGCTCATCCTGACCCACAGTAGGAAGCAGGGCACACTGGGATGGCTCCAGTCACCGAAACCCCAAGCCCACCCTGGAGACCCCCCTCCAGTAAGGCCACACCTCCTGGTCCTCCCCAGAAGTTCCAGCGGGGCACTAAGCATTCAAACCCGAGCCCGTGGGGGCCGTTCCCATTCAACCTACCAGAGAAGGGAACCGTGTATTCTTGCTCTATGTTCCATGCAGTGTTTCAGTTTGTACATTAGTTAAAGATTAAGGGAAGAGGTAGAAAAGGTAGCTGTAACTATCCTCTCTGTGTGGTGGCTCAGGTTTCTGATCTTTGAGCTTGGGAGGTGGAGGCAGGAGGATTGACACAAGTTCAATGCCAGCTTGGTCTCTAGTGAGTTCAGGCTGGGCTGGGCTAGAGTGAGAGATCCTGTCTCAAACAAATGACACCCATAAACCCGCTCTTGTTCTGTCCTCCATGACTCTCCTGCTTGTTTGTGAGTGAGTGAGAAGTTACAATGAATGATGAATGGTGTCCATTCTAAATATTTTTATTTTTGCTGAGATATTCATTGATAACAAGTCAGCTTTATTGAATATTTTAACACTAGAATTATATTCACTACAAAACCCGGTCCCTGTGAGTTCAAGTGAGTCCCCTGAACAGGCTTTGTGAACACTTAGTAGGAGTCTCCATGCTCCAGCCCAGGCTGCTGAGCACATATTGGCTGTTTTCTGCCTTATAATGGGTCAAGGAAAACTGTCTTTGACTGTGTAGATGGGGGCGGGCACCACAGCCTAGAACTTGAGTGCCCCACCCTCCTGCCTCCTCCTGAGATTACAGGTGTGCTCTGCCCGGCCTAACCACTAAAGTTGAAGTACTAATGAGAATTCACTTGGATTCTCTTCGGGAATACGGAAGGAGTACACTCACTGCTTTATTTCCTTCTATAACCCACTTTCTCCCATCCAGGAAAACTCTCAGCCTCTTCCCACTGGCCAACCTCTTCTCATGATCTTTTTCATTTATTAAGCTACTTTATCAATGTGTGTGCCACTTACAAGTGGCAACTTGTAAATCAGCAACTTGTGGGAGTCAGTTCTCTCCTCCCATCATGCTGGCCTGAGACCCAAACTTAGGCCAAGCTTGCCAGCCCTCTTACCGTGATTTTTAGGTCAAAAATTGAGTTTTTGTTTCTGTTTTGTTTTTTAAGTAAATGCACAGATTAAGAGATTTATGGCATATAATGTGATATTCTAATATGCGTTCACACTGTGAAATCATGAAGTCAGGAAAGCTTAAGTCTACCACCTCATTGTTGTGTGTGTGTGCTTAGAACATTTAAGAACTTAGCAAGTCCCCTATGAAGACTGAATCAGCTAGAACCGACCTTTTCTTACAGGAAGTTGAAGCTCTTCTGTTCTCACTGTAAAGTTTCCCTCCATATTCCTGGAGAAAATTCAAGGGAATTCTCAGAAGTGTTTAAATTTTAGTGGTTAAGCTGGGCTAGGCAGAGCACACTTGTAATATCAGAGTCTGAAGCAGAGGCAGGAGGGATACCCACATTCTAGGCTTCTGTCTACACAGTCCAGGCCAGGACCCTGGCTCCAAACACCAGCAACAAAAATTGTGGTTAAACACACACACACACACGCACACGCACACGCACACGCACACAGAACGCTCCATTTGCAGCGTAAGCAGGAGAGCATTTTTCTTTTGTAAAATGCTATGAGATTTAAATCACTTTTGCTTTCACAGCCCAGAAAAGTCAAGTTCTTTAAAAAAAAAAAAATCCAAAACAAAGTCTGAGCTAGGTGTGGAGGTACATGCTTATAATCCAGCACATGGGGTATGGAGCTGGGAGGGTCAGGAGTCTAATTCACCTTCAGCTTTATAATCAGTTCCAGTCTGACGCCAGCCTGGACATCATGAGACCCACTATCAAACAAAATCCACCTACAAAATAAAACCGAGAATAATTAAAGGCAGTTTTTAAGTTCCATTTTTATAGCTTAGTATTCAGGAAGATTTGCACATCATCCTGGCTCAACTTCTGAGTATTTATTTCCTTGCTTTGTTGGTGTCCTCTCAGGACTCAGGGCGACCCCGTCCGCATCAGGCACTCGCATTCTCCGAGGAGTTACAGGCAGTACCGCAGATCCCAGTGTTCGGATGGAGAGCGGTCTGTTCTCTCGGAAGTGAAGTAAGTGGTCAGGCCTGAGGACACGTCAGCCTCACGGCTCCACAGGACAGCCTGCAGAGCTTAAGAGCTGACGCCTGTCCAGTTGACAAAGTCTGACACTTTCTCTTTGGCAGCTCAAAAACGGATCTTGTACCACCACTTCCGGTGACCCGTTCCTCAGATGCTCAGGGGTCTGGTGGTTCCACAGTTCATCAGGTTAGTAAGATTTTAAGGTACCCCACTGATGACTGTTAAAAAAATATGTATTTACTGTGCAGGATATGTATGGGCATGTCTCTGTGGTCAGAGAGCTGCTTTGTGGACTGTTCACATGGGTCCTGGGGTTTGAACTCAGGTATCGATGATTGAACTGCAATGGCTTTTACCCACTGAGCCATCCTGCCACCCTGACAGATAACATCGTTTAACTTCATTTTCTTTGTGAGGCAGGGTCTCACTTTGTATCCCTCTCCATCCTCGAACTCACAGAATCTGCCTGCCTTTGCCTCCCAAGTGCCAGGGGTCAGAGGTGTGCCCAGGGGCAAGCAACTGAGAATTCTAAGAAACATCCTGTGCTTCCAGGAATTCCTTTGGATACACCGAGCAATGAGTCTTTAACTCCATTCTCATATTCTGTTTATCAAAAAACCACATACATAGTTCATGTGTTTCCATTCGTTTGGCTATTTGTCCCTGTGCTTTATCCAACCTTGGTCTCAGCAATTCTTGCTCATATAAACCCTCCTTTCTCACTTATTGGACACCTGGAGCTCCACCCGGGGGCCTAGTCGTGGATCTCTGCATCCAGTTCCCTCAGTCATTGGATGGGGTTTCTAGCAAGACAATTAGGGTGTTTGGCCGTCCCATCACCAGAGTAGGTCAGTTCGGGCTGTCTCTCGACCATTGCCAGCAGTCTTTTGTGGGGGTATCTTTGTGGATTTCTGTGGGCCTCTCTAGCACTTTGCTTCTTCCTATTCTCATGTGGTCTTCATTTACCATGGTCTCCTATTCCTTGTTCTCCCTCTCTGTTCTTGATCCAGCTGGGATCTCCTGCTTCCCCAAGCTCTCTTTCCCTCAACCCTCACCCTTCATTACCCCCACTCATGTCCAAGCTGTTCATGTAGATTTCATCCATTTCTCCGTCATTGGGTGATGAACTATGAACCAATGGCTGAGGGGTCCCCAGCTGGATCAGGCCCTCTGAATGGGTGAG